ATCATTGTCGGAGCGGGCCTGAGTGGCCTAAGCACTGCTATCGCTTTACGCAAATTCATCCCTGCTAACCAACCCATCGAGGTCAAAATTTACGACAATACCGACCTTGACAATGGCAAATCTACAGAGCAGGCGACACCGAAAGTTAGCACAAGCCGGCTAGGTGCCGGGTTGGGACTCCAAGCCAACGGGCTTCGCGTACTGGAGGATCTTGATCCAGCCTTGAAACAGAGGGTCTTCGCAGCCGGATTCCCATGTAAGAGCTTTACGTGGAAAACGGCGGGTAATTGGCTTCTAGGACGTGAATATGTCGATGTACTTCCTATTTCGCGCCCGTTCCTCATCAATTGCCTTCAAGATGCTTTACCCGAAAGCTCGGTGATTTATAAGAAAGTAACCAGGGTGGTTACTCGGCAAGGACACAGGCCCGTAGTTCAGTTCGAGGATGGGTCGCCGGACGAGACGGCGGATCTGGTAATTGGCGCAGATGGAATTCGCAGCACGATTCGCGGTAACTTGTTTGGCGAGGATGAAAAATACCGACCTCAATACGCGTAGGTCCTAATCAACCCGACCTTTCAGTGCAGGTCTAATAACGCACAGCGGTATCTGCGCCGTTGGAGGCGTGCTCCACGTCCCCTTACCAAAACACCTTCTCGATAATCCTAGCATGATCTTTTATATGGGAGCAACCGGAGTTTTCGGCTACTCCGGCCTTACGCAGTCCGACAAGAGTAAACTTCTTTACTGGTCCGTCTATGAGACAGACCTACCACCTAGGGGCCTCAAGCTAGACCACGACAAAATGATCCAGCAGTTGCGTGAGCGACACGGAGATTGGGCGGACCCCCTTATCCGCCAGTGCATAGAGAAGGCCAATCTTGACAACATGTACCCCATCTTCGTCATGCCTGACCTGCCGTATTGGGGTCGTGACGGCTGTGTTCTTATCGGTGACGCAGCCCATGCATTGCCTCCGAGGAGCGGTCAAGGTGCCAGCCAGGCCTTTGAGGACGGAGAAGCATTAGCGCTACTTCTGGCAGGATACCTCGAAAAGGGCCACGATGTGGATGAGGCCATATCACGATCGATACTTGGGCTCTTCGAGGTTCGCGCTGGAAGAGTGAAGAGGATCAAAGAGGAGGCAATGCGGTGGAAGGATCCGAAGATGCCGATGTCTTGGTTGCGAACGTGCGGCCTTTACATATCTTTGTTTATCTTGGTTAGAGTGAAGAATATCGTCAATTATTTCCGTCGTAAGGAACCCTCGAACGTGCGGGATGCGGTAAGTAGATATTTGGCATGTTAGACTTCTGTTTGGCTCAAAATGGGAGTCAAATATCTTCAAAGGCCTATCTATCTCTACCTAGGTATTAATCCGTATGTCTGGATAGAGACAGCAAGGCGTTAGTTCGAAGAGTAAATGTTTTAAGGAGATGCATACTAGTAGATATACTAACACCTTCATAATGTACGTTACATATAGACATCCATTTATTTACATGCGCATTATTTTGTACGTGTACATATGCAGATAGAGAATATATGATGACGTCATGGCCGTCCTACTCGTAAACATATACCTAGGTACGTAACCTTTGGTACTCACCGCTCAGCTCACATTCAATACGTAGAAATATTCGTGGATCTTACGTTCTCACCACTAGTCTATACATACAAAATCATATCCGAATACTCATCAGTAACATCTCGGTCCTTATCGATCCACTTGCAGTCTCGTTTTGGGGGGCTATAGCAACGCCGTCGCAAGTCAAAAATGCCTCCATCACAACAGCGCATGGACGAAACCCAGGTCGCTCAATCTAGCGATGCGACAATGTCTCAATCCGTCCAAACCGCACAGCCCATAGCTCTTCAAGCGATGGGTATGTCAATGCAACCCTATACTCCCATCCGATAGCAATGGCCATGTATACCCTGGATAATGAGGATGTATTGCTAATTTTCACAACAGATCCCCAACGTCCTCATCCCGACCAGCCCGAATTTGGAAATCTACGTGGTGGAGAGCGCAGCTCGTTGTGTCCGGGTCGCTTCTGTTTCTGTATCCCATGCCCGCTGCCGTGCGACTTCTGCATTATTTGAGCTATGAATGTTCATTCTACTATCACGAAAATGGATATGGAAAGATTGAGTTTAGGTTGATGTAGAAGCTAATTGGGTTACGTTCCAACACTGGGCTGACTGGGTCCGGCCAGCTTGACCTCTACTAGGGAACTCAGGCGGTGGCCCCACACCGCTGAAGGACACGAAAGACACCGTGAAGACGAAACAGTAGTTATAATGAATGATAAGATATGGGATTGATAGTGTCGGTACTGTGGTACGTGGCTGTACGTGGCTGATTGGATAATCGTGCACAGGCCCGTACACCCCACACTCGTGGTATTTAAAGGTGCCTCCACCTTAGCTAGATCTTCCCTTCTCCATACTGAATACAACCTCTTTTACCACACCCACATTGACTGCTGTACAGCACACCCCTTCTCTATTAAGCTATTAATAGACCTTGTCCATCCAACAGATAGATATGAACTATATTATATAGACAAGTATAACTCAAGTTTACGGCCAATACGATTAAACTAAGAGTTGTTGTTGCTTATGACTACTAAATTGATACCCTGAGCCGCCTTGACTATGACTGCGTGAAAACCCGCGGAGAAATAAAACCTGGAAAAGATTACTTGCACCACCATGGTGAATATGCATGTACAAAAAATCGTTTCCGAGTAAACGGTCCGCCTAATAAATGTTTCCTATTGTTATCATATACGTGTATCTAAAGATTTCAATTTTAAGAACGTACTCCTTGGAGGAGGCGCCAATGTCAGAGTCGTGCGGAATAATTCGCCAGGTTAGGTCGTTATTAATTTATAAGCAAGTTATAATCTACTCAAGGTAGGTACCCTGCCCAAAACGAATACGAAGTAATCTCAAAACTGGACTTGTGATCCCAGAGTAATCCTTGAGCCAATATCATTTTTCCGTGGCTTTAAGAGCTCACGCTGTCCGTGGAAGCCCATAGATGTGAAGTACTTGTTATTCCGCACTTGGTCAAGGGGGGTATCCAACTCTCGGAAGACACCAATTTTTTTCTCCCATGAAGGTAAATGTATCAATCTTCAGTATACGGAAAAATATATTTTGGTTAGCCTATCCTTATCTCCCTTGTTACGACGCTAATAACCTTTCACTTTCGCGGTGTTCAGTTACGAATATTCCCAGGCACTGATTCCCTCTGCATGATACGTCCTAACTAAGGTTCCGTAACACCCTTCCTTCCCGGGTGGTCCAACAAAAAGTTGGTAAGGTTTCTCCCTAGGCTCCCCATCGCCAAATGGGCAGATATACCAATACCCGTTTGCTTTATATAAATTTACAGGAGCTCCGAATGTCTCGCTTCGTTCGCGTGAGAAGCCCGTAGCATTAGATCCGGGCGGCAGCGCCCCCGAGTGCGGTGCAGTGTAAGACAGCGACCCATCATCAGCGACATAGACTAATCCTCAAGATGTTTAGGATATCAAACTTATAATTGAGTTATTCCGTATATAGCGTACCTTGTTGTCCCCCTGGGACTCCAACATTCAAGGAAATTGTACCATTGCCCTCAATAAATATGGTATCAGATCCTGGATATGCGGAGCAATCGAGTCCCTCTACATCGCTAGGGCAGTCTGCTGTTGTATCCTTGTTAATCCAGAATTTTCCGTCGTTGGCGTTGATAGCCGTTCCAGCGAAGAACACATCTGTTCCCTGAGCGATCTTCCAAACGCCGGCCGTCCACGGCCCTTGCGGAACAGAGCCCGCCCGCGGTATGACTGCCGCCGCGAGGGCAACGAGTGAGGAGGCAGTTAGACCGACGAAGATTTTCATGTTGTTGCTTGGGTTTCAAGGGCCTAGTTATGTGACTTCCTTAGTACGACTTAAGAGACTCGCGGCGTCATCTAAAATAGCAACGAGTCGAATGATAAAAAAGAAATGATGGGGCGAGACATCACTAAGAATGATTAACAGAAGAGGCGAGTGCAAGCCCTTCTATTTTATACGTGCAGATGTATGAAATATTTCTAGGAAATGCCGATGAACCTTTAGATCACACGTTACCTAACTGCTTGTTGCGAAGAACTACAGTCAATCTCTATGTTGCATTTGAAAAGTGCCACATAAAGGGCGGGCATCCAGCAGCTTGCGAATTCGCCGGCTAATATGTCGATGGCTACCTGTTACTAAGCCTCACGCAAGCTGTATATTAATACGAGGGTCCAGACTTCTTCATTCCATTCTAGGTTACATCTCTCAAGATGTTAGCGATTTTTTCCTGCGGCTCAGGTACGCATCCAAGCTAAAGTAGCCATAGACTTGAGTCAACCATAGGAGTTAAGCCATTGAGATCATGCATTAATCTACGACTTTATTAGAGCGTATTCGTAGCTGTTTCGTTATTTTAACCCGCCTCCTCATTTATACTTAGTAACAAGTACGTGACTGATTTAAAATCATTATTCCGTACCTATGCCCTAAAATCGTACTTCTGTGTAATTATTACTTATGAATGATAACATAAGAAAGTGTATACCTATATTTATGGATACCTACGGCCACGGAAAATCCGTGAAATGTTAGGTATCTAATATTAGTCGCGTTAAAATGGAAGTCTCTTCACAGTGGATTCATGGTCATTTAGTTTTACATTGCATATCAGATGCTCCTTGGCCTCCACGGCCCCCTACTCCTTAGGGCATCGTTTCTACCCTAAGGGCGAGGTATGTGTGAGACGCTTGAGCGCCATCCATTTTTAGGGTTAGTACATTTGGTAGGTGAGTTGTTATATAGTCCTTAGCGGATTCCGACTTCCATGGCCACCGTCCTAAAGATAATAAGTTAGTATAAATTGCATTGATAAAAATAAAACGAGAATAGTATTCGAATAAGGCATAAAAAGCTAAGCAGTTAATCTATCATCTCGCTAGACGCCTCGGGGACTAAGTTATGCACTCCACTGCTCGATTAATTCGGGCCAGTTGAGCTTAGGATCTATAGTAACAACATGGATCTTTCGACAACACTTTGATAAGGACTCGGGGGTCACTTCGGGGGAGCCTGCATGCAAACACGGTTCCTCATTGAGGATAATCCCATGCCCGTCAATTTCCCCAATGAGTAAGGTTATCCCTTGACACCTCTGCCTCACTGTATTCAGTCCCATGGTCCTCACAAATTCCAAGTGATCAGGACGCACACACCCGTTCACTTCGCAGAAGTTAAAGACAGAAGCGTTTCGACCCCACTGCTCCAAAGGGATGAAGTCAGGCCGGTCTCGATTGGTGTTATAGGCTACATGGTGCACCTGCAGGTGAACTTGTTGAGATGTAGGGTTTAATGGACCGTCTAGTGCGTTGAACTCATCAAGCCTCTCCTTTGAGACAGCTTTGGCGATCTGGCTGTACATCGGACTAGGCGGGCTAAGCTGCTTAGGGATTGTAATCTTGGCCCTCGGGTGGCTGACGTATCCCTCACCAGTCGAACTGGGAGTCAGGTTCGATACTTGACATTCTGCCCATCGCAGATAGAATGCTCCGTCGCGTTCAGGGTGTTTCTTATTCGTACACTGGCTCAGTCGCTCGATTGCTGCCTGTGGGAACTGTTGCGCAGGGTGGGACGCTGATACGTTGATGATATTATGTAATCTCTCAGCTTCTTCCTTGGTCAACGAGTTAAGCCATGTATAAACCTTCCTCTGGCCATCTGGAGTGGCTGGCGCTGCGTGAGAAGGGGTTGTCGATTCAGCTGGCGATCCGCCGGTGGTAGGAGAAGGGGGGGAGAATGAAGAGATCCTTAACTGATTCGACAGGTTGGAGAGATCGGGGTCTGATCTACTGTAGGACAGATGCGGCCTGGGTTGTTGGGACGGCATCTCGAAGATCAGACGACAGCCCTGCCGTTGGATCGATCGTTTAAATGAGTTGAATGATTGATGGAAGAGATCCAGAAAGCGCGGTTTGAAATAGTCGAGATTCGAGACGTGTTTGGCGTACCGAGGCAAGAGCCGACCGGGCAGGCATCCACCCCACAACTTTGAGCAAGAGCATTTCGTACGAATATAACCCAAGAACGAGGCAAGAGCACCGAGCAAGTATATCCAGGGTAGAAGCACCTCGAGCGAGTGTCCAGCAAGAGCAACCCCCACGAGCCCTCAGAGCCAGACAATACGTATACGAAGAAATAAAATAGAAATAAAATAGAAATAAAATAGAAATAAAATAGAGAAAATATAGATTTACCTGCTGTTCATCCCGCATCGCAAGTTCTGTTCATTAAAATGGCCTACTAGTATTGATACTTTCGAATGCCCACGTTCAACTAAGCAATAAGGGCTTTTTACACATTTAAAGATCCATATCGACTATACTTAGCCTCCGGTTTGGACAGTATAAGCCAGTTACAAGAAGTTAAATAGCTTCAAAGACTGTCGAGTATACCGGAGCTACGAAAGAGTCTTCCTAACTCGTTCCAATCCAGTGTCTAGAACCCCGGATCATACGCTAGTCAAATTATCAAACAATCTTCGTCTGTGGTGGCAAGCCCTATAACAGCCTCAACAGCAGCCGCAAGATCAACATGGAAATTAGGGTAGTTAATCCCATGCGTAGCGGCTACTCTCCCAGCCCCCTCTGACGCCCCCTCCACTCCAGCGTTACCCCTTTCAACATCATCTACGTTTGCGTCAGGTCCCGTAGGTAATGTAGATGACTCAATTAATGGCGAATTTCCCATCTTTTGCCGCCCTTCCCGCTGCGCAAGAGTGAATACCGGACTCCAACTCTTACTCCCTTTTAGCTCGTCGTCGGTAGGGTAGCCGAACCCTGCTACCGCCAACGCTCTCCGTACCCAGCGATCTTCTACGTTTGCAAAGTGCCACTGGACAAGGTCTGGCTTAGCCCAACGTTGAAGCTGCTCGCGAAGTTCGACTAATCCGTCAATGGCGCCCGTGTCCGTTCCGTTGACGGTAGAGAAGTCGAGGATTAGAGCTTTGAGAGTCGGCTTAGCGGCCTGTATGCCGGGGCTATCGGGTGTTTCTAGGATATTAGGAGCGGCTAGTTCGTTCAATGGGTGGTCCTGGAATCCCAGTCAGTAAGCTTCGCTGTTGGGCGGAGCATAGTATAACTTACGCTCAGTTGCTCATACTGAACTATTTCCGTTGGGCGAGTCTCTTTTTTTATGTGCTCCAGAAGTGAGTCCATATGCTGCGCTTGGTTGACGTAATTGAAACCGTCGGGGAAGCGATAAATGAATACCCCAGGCCGTGGTAGTTCGACACGGATAAGTGGGTTGGAGGCATCCTTACGATCGAGTGGAAGGAAGACATTCCTTGAGGGCATACTCGGCCCCTTTCGCGTATTGGAGGCAGACATAGACGAGGAGCTACTGGCAACGTGTCCGGGTCTGATAGATTTTGGATAGTGATGAATCCGAACTCTACCGAGAACTCTCCCCTGAGCGCGAGCAAGTCGTATCAGGAGGATCGCGGAAGATAAAGCTATAGTTGCGTAAATTCCGTTTTCAAGGGAGCTGAAGATGGACGTGAGAACCCCAACAAAGTAAATAGTAAAATCTAATGGAGATATTAGCCACATCCTGAAAACGTGGGCCGGAGGCTCGATCAAGTTCGTCACAGCGTGAATGATGAGAGCGGCTAGACTGGCCATGGGAATCCAATACAGAACCGGCTGCAGTACATATAGAGTAAGGACCAGAGCACAGGCATTGAACACACCAGCCAGGGCCGTTCGAGCACCAGCTTTAGATAATACAGCGCTGCCACCGAACGATGCCGTCGAAGCGTAAGCACCAACGAAAGGTCCCGCGATATTAGTCGCAGCAATCGAGATTAATTCTTGTGATGTGGATATGCTGTAACCATGCTTTCTGCCAAAGGACTTGGCAATGGCGATGTGTTCAATGATGATAATTATAGCAGCGGCCGGGAGCTCAGGCAGAAGGGCTTTTATTAAGTCGGGTTGAAGCGTTGGAGGTCTAACACGACGGAATCCTGTCATAGTGTAAGCTGAGGACATTTATATATACCCATAGTTAAACACATACCTACTGGTATCGGGCCAAGAATTCGGAACTTCGCTTCATTGAGTGGGACGTTTCTGTTGACAAGGAAGCTGATTAGGATGTAGAGAGAAACCGTGAACAAAAAGCGAAGAGAATTGATCGTGGTCCACACTTTCTCTCTGTTCTTTCTCCGAGAAGACAGGTTTCCTGCTGGGGTGCCTCCCTCGAGTTCCTCTCGGTCCTCTCTTTGGGCGCGGTAAGACTGTCGTGTGATCATGTACTCACATAACCTCTTTATGAATGTTAATAACACCAGAGCTGTGAGCCCTACCGCTGCGTCTATCTTGATTCGCCCAAGCCCTTTACAGGTATCCACGAAAACTTGATAAGATGGGCCTCTCGTATATATACCGGAGATTCCAAGCAAGGTTGGCACCTGACCGAGAGCGATGGTAATTGCAGCAGCAGTAACAAATGCTGAAGTGGCCACGTGAGGTATGAACTCGACAGCCCAACCAAGCTTGAGGAGGCCCATTAGAAGGAAGATACACCCCGCTAAGAAGGCGTGTGTTGTTGCAATCTCTTCTCGAGTAAAACCAAGATGCATGTCGATAATATTACTAGTTGCCTTCCCGACAAGGAGAGACACAACAGCTGTTGCCTTCACAAAAGTTAGAATCGTATCCAGTTTCATGATCATACAAACAGAATGGTGCACATACCCCAACCGCGACCTCTTTAGAGGTTCCAAATATCCAATACAAGGATGCACCAGAAAACGTGGTCTAGTGTATCGCAACATGTCGTGTCAGCATCTTGACCTTTTGTTTTCAATATGTACCAAGTATCGCCTTTTTAATCTGGACAGCGGCGATATTAGAATTCTTTACTTACTGTTATGATGTTAGCTTGTTCCTATATTTTAGAAATTTTGAGGTCTTTCTAGACACTGAGTACCTGAACATACCATAGAGTCCATATTCTGGGCTGAGACCCGCAAGCAACGCATAAGATAATCCCTGGGGGATTACAACAAGTGCGAGTGTACAACCTAATGAATAATTAAGTACCAGTGCCGGCACGCTCAAATGAAAAATAGGTAAGAAGAGGTAGCTTCTTACCAGCAATAACATCGGCAAAAAGCCATCGCGGCTTATATTGTCGTATCCAACTAACAAAAGGGAAAAGGCCGATACAATACGAAAGGACGCCTCTTCGGCTTATCCCCTGGTTTAAAATCCATCCTTTAACGGTCGGAGGTTCTTCTACAAACGGCTCGAATGGGGAGATCAACTCGGCACTTTGCTGAACAAGATTATCGGGAACTGTCCGCTTGTGTGCGTTAACATCAATACCAAGTCCTCTGGCAAGGGTATGAAGAATCTTGCTTGCCACCATGTCTGTGACGCTTAGCACAATGAAGAGAGCGCAACTGTAAACGTAGGACGGGTTTAGTTGATGCACCAACCTATAAATTAGTGAGAGAAGTCGAGAATAAATCTTGAATATATAGCTACCTATACATTTAACAAGATAGGAGAGATAAAGTGACCACTTATACAATCACTCGGCAGGCATCGTGAAGCAAATATTGTTAGAAATATTAACATGTCATTGAAAAAGGCCAGTCACAGAACTACTATTATAGCTTGGCTTCCTTGGACATGAAACTAGCAAGTTCCCCAGAGCATCTTATTCCATATGAAAATTGAGTACATAATTTTATCAGTTTACATGAAGTTTGTTTTGAACACAAACCTGGCGGGATAGGGGTAGCAAGAGAAGAAGAACAAGAGGCTAATAATTTGAGGCAAACCACACACAAAGTAAGGCTGGGAGATGTAGGTGGATTTATGATATATAGGTATAGGTAATATAAATAATCGTGGACTTGGAAGTGTTAGTCGATATCCTATTGTACCATATTTTATACTACGTTCGCCGGATTCACATATCGGAGTACACTTCGCAGCAGAGTATGGATAACAATGTTAATTTATAGTAAAATGCTGTGACTCCTCTACTTTCTTGAACAGCTAACCTAAGCACAAAGAAGGAGTAAAACAACTCAAGCAGTGTCTTCAATCCTCACGACGAATTCTGCTATGTATTCTCGTGACAATAGAGATGCCAAGACTACGTGACGCATGTCTGTAGCTTATACAAATACATGCAAGCAGGCAGCAAAACTCTACTTTGATATATTCTGCTCTGTTTAGAACGATTTAACATCATTCACTCCCTATTTATTGGGGGTGTCATTTATTCTTTGTATTGTCCTTTACCAAAGGGACCTAAGTACCTCGTCTTGTTTCCCACCGGACCTACCTGTTCCCACACCCAAAATGTGCTTGAAGTTCTCTCGTACATCTCGTGCGGTCCTTACTAAGACCTCACTGAGACTTTTTGTGGGATGATAGGTCGAAAAGCTAAGGCACGTGGCCCCAAGTTTGGCGCGTCAGGAATAAAAGGGGGGTGGGGGCGATAAACAAGCTGAAGCTCAAGCTGATAAATGGTATAGTTCTATGACATCCAAAGCACAATTAGGTATAAGCCATATCACTGATGTAATAAATTTTTATTCTATAACTCTAAAGTTAGGATATATAAGCATCCCTTACTGCCAGACTTCATAGTGACATGTGTACTCCGGTAATGGTATTTCATGCCTCCTTTTAGGGGAGGCACCAATTTAGGCAATATGGATATGCTTATATCCTGTGTCGCTCAAGGTGAAATCAACACTCGCAGTTACCAATAAACCTCTCACAAGTATCAGAGTCGGAGATGTGTATCTTCGCCTCTCTTCTATATATAGGCCTCTCACCTACTCCTGATCTCACGCATACATCCTCTCACTTCATCACCGCGCGACTTCAATCTCACCTATTATGTCTGATGTGAGCTTGCATATGTATGTGTACAGCTGATACTCTGAGAGGCTTCACTCGGGCGTCTA